AATTTTAACGGTCCTATACGCTACTCGAAGCACGGAAGAGTGAATACATCGCACAAATCCCAAGAATTGACAAGACGCTGTTATTTTGATCGCCGGTACTGAAGCATTGCAGGTCGGTAGCAAATTCATAAAATCCATTAAATTTCGTGGATTCAGTGCTTAGGTACAACCTGGCAGCAAACCATCTTCTTCATCTTTCACGGTAGACTCTCTTTCGCGTCGAGGAAGCAGACCTAGCAGACAGGGCTTCCAACGTTCACAATCGTGTGCCGGAGCCTGAGCTTCGCATGAAGAAAACTGGAGTCTGGAATTGACTCCTTCCATACACTTGCGCCAGAACAATCTTAACCGTGCCTAGGATCTTCTGTCGGTTGGTTTCCAAAGATGCAGTTCTTCAGCCTTCCCTTCTGGAGGGATTCGAAACGCAAGCCGAAACCTTCGCAGCTGTGACTTCTAAATCTGGAGAAGCAAAGACCGCACATTAACGCGCTCGCGGATGTCAGGATTCCGAACCATGTGGAAACGCGTAAGGCCAGCGACTAGACTAAGAAAGGACATTTCAGCAGCTTGTACCCGGGTTCAAAGCTTTACAGTCATGGTCCACGACTCATGATCATGAATAAAAACTAGAATACACATCGAGTTTTCGAACTGAGCTCCGATTCTGCCACAGCATATTGAACCAACTCATGCAGAACACCGCTAGCTACCCTATTCACTGGGGGATCTCTTACACAAATTTTCCATCATCAGTAAATACGACTCTGAGGTACCGCAACTTTTCCGCATGCACTTGTCTCTCCGTTAATCTGAAGAAAGCAACGGACAGGAGAATGAGAAAGCACAGAACAACAAGCTTTTCGTTTAAGATGCTTTCACATGCCTGCCGGTCATGACACAGTCGGCTGCGAACATTTCGAGGGAATACTGTAGATCAGATTCAGAAGAAGTCCAAAAAACAAGGTCGCCTGCAAACAGAAACGTCCTCACCTCTTCTACACCGACGGAGTCATTCGACTGGGGTGCAATTGGGTATTCCGTCTCTGTACGAGACACAACAGGGGACAGGACGCAGCCCTGGCGAAGACTTGTGCCAACGTGTAAAAATGGTTTCGACTAAGCGCCATTTACTCTGACGCAGCAGCTGCTAACCGAATACAGTGATTGGACGGCCCTCAGCGGCAGGCCATCTATCCAGTATGCAAGAAGGCATGTGCACAGACTGTCGCGTTGGATCCGGTCATAGGCTATTTCTAGGTCCACAAAACACGTACACTGGATGGGCGTACTCCCACGATTTCTCAACAATCAGGCGCAGGACAATTATATGGTGAGAGGTACTTCGACCAAGCCAGAAGCCATACTGCATTTGTATCTAGCAGTCACTTATTTCGCGGCACCTACTTTCTAGCACCTTTGAGTAGACTTTACCTGGGAGGCTCAATAACGTAATGGCTCTATAATCGGAGCACAGCTGGCGATATTCTTTTTGAATAGCGGTACAGCAATTCACCTTCTCCAATCCTCTGATGCCTTAACCGCAGTTTGACAGCTACGTGTAAGCCAGCCCATACCATTATCGCCTAATGCCTTGACTATTTCACGCGGTTTTCATCAATTACAGATGCCATTCCATTTTTAAAGCTTTTCATAGTTTCAGTAATTTCATCTATAGAGAGAGTAATATCCGTTCAACGCTGCTTTAATGGCGTCTTC